AGATATGTGAGATTGTATGTTCTTACACATTTTGTTTTTAAAAAAGACAGGTAAATACTTTTACAGAATCATTTATGGTTCTGCTTAACGACAGCAATTTGCTATTTTTGTGAAATAACAGCCATTCAGTTTTGAATTCGGTGCTTATTCATTTGTTAAATAATTTTTCAGTGACTATAACGGCACACTTTTTTAGATTAATTAAGATAAATATAGAACAAAAAAGTGGAATTCAGGGAAAAAACAAACAGAAAAAAACAGACTTTGGGGAAAAAATAAATAAATATTCTCTGATTAAAATCATGTATGGCACAAGTTTGTAACTGTATGAAATCGACTGAAGTGATTCTCATATAAGCATCACTTTTACCTGATCAGTTCACAAAAGCATGAAGGGCGACTGCGTTAACCAGCTGCTCCACTATGCAACCCGAGGATTAGTACTGATYGTAAACACAGTTATTGATCTAAAAACCCAATTTCAGCCTTGAGTGTCAGTTTAACTGCAAGGTGCAGGCTCGAGGCTCACAGTGTTAGCCACGCCAATATGAACTCAAATTTGCAACTTTAGAAGAGCAGCACTTTTAYAGCCTCGTAAGATTTACTGCTGAGTGCAGCTCGTTAGCTGCACGACCTGCTGAAGAATAAAGAGCTTTTTCAGTAGCTGTGTGTGAGCGTGTGTGTGTGTGTGTGCGCGCAGTGGAAAAAGACAGAAAAAGACAGTTGCAAACTTGTCATATTATTCCGCCTCGTGCGTSTGTGTCTGTATGTGCACATGTGCTTGTCTGCGTGTCTAAATTCCAGTCGGGCTCCACACAGGCCTTCGCWTTGTTCCGGAGGAAACCTGACCTTCGGGCTCCGTATGACGGCGGCACGTCTGCAGCCTCGCTCGGTCCTCRTGTAAGTGTGTCCTTGTGTGTGTGTGTCATGTGTGACCTTGATGGGGGGTCGCCAGCTGTGTGGATGTGGGACACGGTCTGTCACAAACAGCTGACAGTATGGGGTGCCGTTAGTCAAAAATTACCACCAATAGTTTTGTTTTATTGAGCATTTTATAAAAAGAAAGAACAGATTTATTTTTCAAAGTCAGTTTTTCACTGTATGATTCACACATTTATAAATGTC